TCTATTTGTTCAAATACATTCAAATCTGGAAAAACTATATTTTCTTGAGGACAGAGTCCTAATTTATTTATAATACTACTCAAGTGCTTTTCTATATTTTTGCCATTTATAAACACTTTTCCTTCTGTTACGCTTGTCACACCTATTAAATATAAGTATAATAAGTATTTCCTATAAAATATCATTAATGCCATTTTCATTAAGATCTCAAAGTATGTACAATGTAATACCTGTTAATATAGACATAAGCGTAGTTTTGCCTGCTCCATTGTGTCCAAGCAGTGCAGTAATTTGTCCTTTATAAAAGTCTACGGATATTCCTTTCAGAGCATGGACTTTCTAGAATATAATAATGTGACAATATGTATATTTACACATACGTGGGCAAGGAAAACGTGAAAAGTTCTCGGTTTGACATAGAAATGGCACCGGGGGTCTTAAATGGCTATATATTTTTTTAAGTTTGACCCTTCAGAGGTCCGAAAAAGTTTCAGTCAAATGCGGTTAGTAGTTTGTCTCTTATGTCGAGTGAAGTGAACAAGTTTTGTTCTCGAAAAATGGATAAAATCGAATGTGGCGCAGTAATAAAATATTTTGTTTTAAAAGATTTAAAGCCACTTCAAAAAACGAGCTGAATTCCATCTTTGGGACACTCTTCACCATCGTTTTCAACAATAAAAAAATGGGCTGCTAAATTCAAACGTGGTCGTTCATCTATGAATGAACGTTCAGGAACCGCCTAAAAACCGCTATGACTGAAGAAATAGTCGAAAAAATTCATAATGCCATGTTGAATGATCGACGAGTGACAGTGCGTGAGTTTACTGACATTGTAAACATCTCAACAGATTGTGTTCATAACACGAACATTTGTTGCACATGTAAAAGTTTTTAGCGCGATAGGTGCCGCGTTTGCTAACGGTCGGTCAGAAACGCTTTCACAATTGCAGTCAAAAAACTTCATGAGCTGCGCTTCGAATTGCTGCCACGCACCGTACTCACCAGATTTAGCCCTCCCCCAGTGATTTTAATGGAGTTTTGCGACTGCAATTGTAGACATTCGTTTTTTTTTCATTTTTTGAGAAACATCAAAACTTATTCTCTAAATTTTCGGGAATGAATCTCATTCCAAGAGATTGAAAATACTGCCACTCGGCTATTTGAGTGACAGTATTTTCACTCTTTTGAAATGAGATTCACTCCAAAAGAGTGAAAAGTCACTCCAGAAAATTTAGACAGTAAGTTTACTTTACTTGACACAAGAGACATACTAACCGCATCTTTTTGAAACTTTTTCGGTAGGCCTCTAAAGGATCAAACTTAAGAAAAATCATAGAAAAACCATTTGACATCCTCGGTGTCATTTCTATGTCAGGCCGAGAACTTTTCACTTTGCCCTCGTATGTAGCAAAAATGTAATATTCTGAATATTCATATATAAACATGAAATTCGAATTTGTATTATGCATATAATAGAATAAGAGAAATGGTTAAGAAACGACCAAAAAGTAAGAAATAATAAAATATGTAATAACTTCAACGACCAAAATTTAAAAATAATTATTTACTTGTTGATTTAACATTTTCTCGCTTGAAACCGAAGAAATAATTATACTCCATCTATTTATCACATCTTTGAATTACATCTTTGAAATTCTTCATCTCTATCAATTTGGATTGTTCGATTTTCACAATACTCAATTGGAACATTTTATATATGCATAGCATTGTTATATGCAAATATTGATTGCTTCATGACAGGTTTCTTAAGTTTAAGCTTTTCATTAAGGTAAATTTACATTTATATTTATATTATTAAACTAACTTTTTGCCAATTATATGGTTGCTATTGTTATAATGAACCGAAGAAAATTCTGTGAAACGTGTCCTAATTTATAATAAGCTTAATTTTTACCAATTTGAATACATCTCACTCTTTGCTCAATTCCTTGGTCCCTCACTTTACCTTATTATATTATGTAATGTTCATTATTTTATGTAAACTTACAGAATTTCGTAACCAGCACGTTGTATAAGACTTTTTAAGATCGCGTATTTGTATTCCAGGTGTAAGTGCACCACCTAATACCGGTTCAAAGTCTTCGTTAGCCTTATCGTAATCAAATTCAGTAGCTTCTTCATCAAGAGCTACTTTATTCTTCCTCAAACACTAAAATACTAATATATAAAAACATTACAT